AAAGTAGTTAATTGTATGTTGTGCTCTTTCTGAGCATATGTCTAACACTTGTTGAACAGTAGTTCTTAACCAGAATGGTGGTGGATAGACGATGTTGCCCCCCCCCAACACACACACCTCCAGAGGACAATTGGCAGTGTCTGAAAACACTTTTCATTGTTACAAATGGAGAGGTGGCATCTAATGGGAAGAGGTCAGGGATGCTGCTAAACATCGTGCAATACATATGAACAGCCCCCTACATCAAAGAATTGTCTGGATCAAAATGTCAATATTGCCAAGGTTGAAAAAACACTGATGTAGGCTGTTTATTGTCACCATTTCTATTAATCCACATGGAAACAATAAATAGAATGAGAATGAGTCTAGAATATCTGAGGTCTGTCTGGGAAAAGTCCAGCTATCGTTAATACAATGAGAACAATTTGCACTACAACCTGGCAACCAAGGACAGTGGACTGGAATGTGAATGTGTGAACAATGATGACTTCACTGTACTAGTCAGTGGGGGTGCTGTTGAGTGAGCATGTGTACTGTGTGGCTGTCACATACAAAATGACAGCGCAAGCAGAGCAACAAATCTGCATCAAATTTTGTGTTAATCTTGAACATTCCTCCTTGGAAACTATTTGGATGATTCAAAAAGCTGCAGCTTTGTGCAACTAGTGATTGGCAGCTTCATCATGACAATGTACCTGCTCATGCATCATGTCACATGCAGAATCATTTTTGTGAAACATCAAACCACCCACCCAGGTGACTCAGACCTCCAACAGCCCAGATCTGGTGCCCTGCAACTTCTGGCTTTTCCCAAAGCTAAAATCACCTTTGAAATGGAAGAGGTTTCAGACTGTCTATGAGATTCAGAAGAATATGACCAGCAACTGACAACTGGGAGAACTGCAGGAGGTCTCAAGGTGCCTACTTTGAAGGGGACTGAAGTGTCATTGTCCTATATACAGGACAATGTTTCTTGTATCTTCTTAAATAAAGATCTCTATTTTTCATACTACATGTCTAGATACCTTCTGGACAGACCTCGTATGTCTAATGATTTTAAAATCTTGAAGAGAACGTCCTGCTCCAAGAAGCCACAGACTCTATCTGCACTGCTGATGTCAGAGCCTAGCACAGTGCCAGGAACATAATGGTTGTTCAAATACTGTTCCTTGGACTGAATTTAATATGTCACAGAGATTGTAAAGTATGAAATGGACCAATCAGAAGTACTGTAAAACAAATGCCAAGGTGTGTCTGTATATGCCCCAAGCACAGTGTGTTTAATAAATATTGAAGGGATAGATGAATGGTTGGAAGGATAAACAGAATTTAAGGCCCTGGGATACAGGCATTATTGTCTTTTAGCCATTGAGGAGAATGATTTGGAAATTATAGATAAGTGAAGAATTAACAGGTATATATATGATGTTCAACAATATGATTCAGTTTTTATGTGACAGTGTGACATAAGTTACATTCCTCCTTTCCTCTACCATTAGCTTCTTTCTACTGCTCTTTCTCAACCTATACAATCATGTGTCACTTAACAACAGTGATAGACATTGAGAAATGTGTCATTAGGCAATATCATCATTGTGTGAACATCATAGAGTGCACTTACGCAAACCTAGGTGGTATAGCCTATTGCTTCTAGGCTACAAACCTGTGCAGCATGTTACTCTACTGAAACATATCTAAATGTAGAAAAGGTAAAGTAAAAATATAATGTAAAAGATAGACATGTTTCATCTATATAGGTACTTACCATAAATGAAGCTTGCAGGACTGTAAGCTGTTCTGGGTGAGTCAGTGAGTTAGCGGTGAGTAAATATGAAAGACTAGGACATTGCTGTACACTATTGTGCACTTATAAACACTGTACACTTAGGCTACACTACATTTGTAAAACACCATGAGATTGAATCAAACATAAGAGGATGTGATGCATCAAGAGACAGGATATGAAGCTGCTGCAAGTGTAACACAACATACTGTTTTACAGGAAACTTCTATAAGTAGAGAGAACATGCAAAAATAATGATAAAATATAGTATAATAATACATAAATCATTAACTATCATATCTTACTTTCTTCAAGAATTATATACTTTAAATTTTTTAAATGTAATTGATTATGCTGTTACAGTTGTCCCATTTTTTCTCCCCTTTATTCCCCTCCATCCTGTGCTCCCCCTTCCTCATCATTTCCCCACCTTAGCTTTATTCATGGGTCATACATATAAGTTCTTTGGCTTTTCCATATCTCATACTATTCTTAACCTCCTGCTGTCTATTTTATACCTAGCATTTATGTTTCTTATTCCCTGTACCTTTTCCCCTATTTTCTGCCTCCCTGCTGATAATCCTCCATGTGATCTCCAATTCTGTGTACTTGTTCCTGTTCTAGTTGTGTGCTTACTTCATTTTTGTTTTGTTTTGTTTTGTTTTGTTTGTTTGTTTGCATCTTTAGGTTTGATTATTGATAGTTGTGAGTTTGTTGTCATTTTACTTATCATATTTTTTATCACCCTCATTTTCTTAGATAAGCCTCTTTAACATTTTATATAATAAGGGCTTGGTGATGACAAACTCTTTTAATTTTACCTTATCAGGGAAGAACTTTATCTGCCTTTCCATTCTAAATGATAGCTTTGCTGGATAATCTTGGATATAGGTCCTTGGCTTTCATGACTTGGAATAATTCTTTCCAGCCCCTTCTTGCCTGAAAAGTTTCTTTTGAGAAATCAGCTGATAGTCTTATGGGAACTCCTTTGTAGGTAACTGTCTCCTTTTCTCTTGCTGCTTCTAGGATTCTCTCCTTCTCTTTAATCTTGGCTAATGTAATTATGGCATGCCTTGGTGTGTGCTTCCTTGGGTCCAACTTCTTTGGGACTCTCTGAGCTTCCTGGACTTCCTGGAAGTCTATTTCCTTTGCTAGATTAGGGGAGTTCTCTATTATGTTTTCAAATAAGTTTTCCATTTCTTGCTCTTCCTCTTCTCCTTCTGCCACCCCTCTGACTTAGGTGTTGGAATGTTTAAAGTTGTCCTGGAGATTCCTAAGCCTCTCTTCATTTTTTTTTTGAATTCTCATTTCTTCATTCTGTTCTGAGTGAATGCTTCTGCCCCAAACATTGATTTGAGTCCTGTTTTTTTTTTCCTATTACTGTTGGTTCCCTGTACATTTTCCTTTATTTCACTTTTCATAGCCTTCACTTTTTCCTCTATTTTGTGACCATACTCCACTATTTCTGTGAGCATCCTGTTTACCAGTGTTTTGAACTCTGTATCTGATAGTCTGGCTATCTCTTCATCACTTAGTTATATTTTTTCTGTATCTTTGATCTGTTTTTTCACTTGAGCCATCTATTTTTGTCTCTGCATACCTGTTTTGTAGTAAGGGGCAGAGCCTTAGGTATTCGCCAGAGTGAGGCAACCCATGTCACTGTGTTGAGGTGCTGTATGTGGAAGAGGTGTCCTGGAGGGAACAATGCCCCTTACTTGGCTCTCTGCCTGCTTTCAGTCACTTACTCTGCTACCCACAAGAAAATTGGGCTCTTCTGGTGCTGATTCCTGGGTGGGTGGGTTTGTGTACATTCTAGGACCCTATGGGTCTCTCCAATGAACTCTCCTGTGAGTCTGGGATTTCCTTCCACCAGTGCAACCCCCACAGATTTTTTCAGTCAGAGGTTTTGAGGCCTTCATTTCTCATGCTGGAACCCTGGGTTACACAGTTTCTCTTGCTCTCCAGTTGTTCCCCCTGGTTTATTCACATGCAAATGTAGGACTACCCAATCTGCCAGCCACCACTTTGCCCACCCTAGTCCTCCAGCTGCTGCCTAGCTGGGAGTCCTGTCTACCTTGGCTGCCAATTTCCACCCCTCCTACTGGTCTGGATGAATGTTTCTTCTTTAACTCCCTGGTTGTCTGAGTTCCATACAGTTTGATTTTCTGGCAGTTCTGGTTGTTTTTTATTTTTAAATTGTTTTTTTTTCCTTCTTTTGGTTGTGTGATGAGGTAAAGTGTATCTACCTATGCCTCCATCTTGGCCCGAAGTCTGTACTTTAAATTAATTGTTATGTGCTATACTTTTATATGACTAGAAGTTCAACAGGTTTGTTTACACCAGCATGACCAAAACACATGGCTAGAGGGTTAAACTACAACATTAAAATGGCTGTGATGTACTACTTGATAGGATTTTTTTTCATTATTATTTTATGGGACCACTGTTGTATGCAGTCCATCATTAAATGAAGCATTGCTATGTGGTACATTATATGTATATAATTTCTCTCCATCAATAAAAAGAGTCAACAGACCTCCTTTTATCTTGTTTCTGGTAGCTATCATCTTCTCTTTCTCCAAGTTAATAAAACTTGGGGTTTTAGAGCTGGGGCTTACACAATTTGGGGTACTCTCATGAAAGAAAGAACAAAACTGTATATATAAATAAGAACAAAAATTAACTTAGCATAAAAGATTCCTATGTATCACAAGCTTTAAAAAGCTGACCAATACTACCAATATCACTAAAGCCAGAAAAAGAGCATAATATTTTTGTTAATGAAATGTCTTCGTGCTTTTATAATACTTTGCCACTAAATTGCTCTATTTCCCATTCACTCCAAACCTTGTTTCTCCTCTATTCCACACTTACTGCTGGAAAACTAGGTTGATCCATAGGAAACAAAACCCTAGAGAGGAGATGACTTGTCATTACTTTATCTCAAAATCTACAGGGTCAGCCTCAGTGTCCTTTTTCTTGGTCATCTTTGCAAGAACTACATGTATGATAAGGAACATCCCCTGTCACCAAGCCCACTTCTCAATCTCCAACTTTCAGTAAATTCCTGACCAGAGGTCCAGGCCCTCCGATATAGACCATATTCATGGCTGCAAGCAGAAATCCCTTCCTTCTTCCCTGATCACCATCCCAAGCCAAAGCCACAGGGCATCTCTGCCTTCTCTAAAACATGTCTCACTCTGAATCTTATTGGCAGGTTATTCAGCAGTCTCTGGCAGCAATGTGACTCTTCCAATCTGCAATTTGCCTAACAACTCAAGTCTCACGTTGTTTTACAATCCCAACAAGAAGATTTTAGAATGGGAGTCCAGCAAGCCTAGTCCCAACTTCTTCAAAACTACATTTAAGGACAGAGTCAGACTTGATCGTAAAAATGGCAAGCTCTACATCTATAAGGTCCAGAAAAACGATACAAGCACCTACCTCCTGAAGGTGGAGATGAACAATGGGACGGAAAAGGAATGCAAGATCCCACTGGAAGTGTTTGGTGAGTTTGAGGGACCCAAGGGCAAGTCCTCACTTTGGGGTCCTGGATGGAGCAATGGGAGGTTTCCTGGTGATCAAGGGGGATCTCCTGGGAGAAGGAAAAAAAACCTCTGGACAGGCTTAATTAATTTCTCCTTGGGATATTTAACACTTCAAAACAGTAGGGGTGGTTTCCTCTCTATTATCTCTATGTTCTCCTGTGATCAATACAGATCTGTTCTGAGGTCATCTTAATAATATATCTGAACAAAGACTTTATCAGACTTAAGAAAAAAGATAAAAGACATAAGGAGTGGGCAGGATACTAAGGAGGGTTTTTAATCTTTCACAATGTGTGAGATAAAAACTTTCAATCATAGCTCCAGCCTAACCAGTGTATATGGAATAAGGACTAGGACATTATACTTGGAATCTGACGGTTCTGGGTTAAAAACTCTGGTCACTTACAAGCTATGTGACCTTGGAGAAAGATTTTAACATCTCTATACCCACATATTATTTAAGTTTCTTTTTATGGCAATAGCAAAAACCAAGTCAGTGTACCTTTAGCAAAAAAAAAGATAATTTATTGAAGAAACTGGGACTATTTAAAAAAGAATTGAAGAAGTTTAGAAAACTCAAGAAGGGTGAAGGGGAGGAATATTGAGAACTAAGGCCAGTCCAGAATCCCTAGCCTCAGGAATCTGTGGACTAATCCTATGGATTCCTACCTTTTACATGACTTATCTATCAAAGTCTAGACTGTCATATCTCTCAGTTTAAATTCTCAAGAAAGAAAAACTGGTTGTGTGGGAGAAGATGTAGCAGTCTCTTCTCCAAACAATCTTTTTGTCTTCATATTTCTCTGGGGCCAGCAGCTGCCTGACATGAGGCCCAGGACTGTGGGCTTAGCTGACTATAATGGGCTCTGTCTCAAACCAGCAGTTTGCAGAGCAAGCTGCACTTGGAGGGCTTCTGGAGCCTGGAGGAGGTTGAGTCAGTCACCCTTAAGAAGTATGATATGGGCCTGGAATCTATCTGAGTCACCAGCCCTGGTGGAATGTCATGTATTGGGAGAGAGAGGCAGCCAAAAGGGAAGAACATGCAGAAGGGCAGATCAAAGGGGACAGGTGTGACAACACCTGTGGAGATCTAGACCATCATGCCAAGGAATACAAGCTACTTCTCCAGCCCAAGATGTGCTGCTTCTCTCAGAACATCAGCCCTATGATGAACTCATGTTTACTGAAGGCCCAGCAGGCCCCTAGCTCACTGGGAAAGCCAGCCTAGTTTCAGGAGGAAGAAGAGATCCATAGCTCTGATTTGCTCTCAGAGACCCAGAATTGAGCCACAGTGTGTGGCACAGTGTGTGTGTGGGGAGGGGGGGGAGTGTATCCTTTTGTCAACAGGAATTTTCAAGGAGTAGGCATCAATCAGCAGAATGGAGAAAATGGGAACAGGGTGGGTAGGGGACAGCTGGCAATGCCTTTCATCTCTGGCTGGGGTCCACAGCATTACCCGCTATTCCCTCTTGGTGGGAGAGGAGGGAAGGGTGAGGGAAAAGAAATCCAACCACACTCTCTCCAAATGCATTTAAGGGCTTTAGAAGAATTCCCTCTCAGTATGCTGTATCTCAATCTCTGTCCCCCAGAATCTCTAGCGTTTAAAAGTGGCCTAGATAGGGAAGTAGTTTTTCTTTTAAAGAAGGATATGTAATAATATTTCCTATGCCAGAGTGAAAAAAGATTAATCATGAGACCAGATTGATGGACCCAACTCACAAACCACTATATTCTGTGGGAGGAAATCTCAGGTAACACAGGTTTTTCCACGTCTTTTCTTATTACCCACTCTTGGGATATGGTGCTGAGAACCGTTCAAAGCAATGGGTTGTGATGATAGGCAAAGGTAGTGATTGAGCGATCAGTTACTACTCCTAACTTCACTCCCATCCCATTCTGAGCCAATAGAATTTTATTTATTTGTCCACTGGAAAACTTGTTATACTGTTTTTATTACTACATCCTTATAATATAATTTGATATTGGGAGGTGTGATACCACCCACTTTGTTTCTCTTTTTCAAGGTTGCTGTAGCTATTTAAGCTACTTTATGTTTTGCTGCAAATTTTTGCATTATTTGTTTTAGTTCTGTAAAAAATGGCATTGATATTTTGGTAGGAATTGCATTGAATCTATAGACAGCTTTAAGTGGTAATAGACATTTTAATGATTTTAATTCCTCCTGTTCATGAGTGTGATATATGCTCCCATGTATTAGGTTTTGTTCTATTTCTTTTTTCAATGTCTCATAATTTTTCAAGTGAAGGTCTTTCAACTCATTTGCTAAATTTAATCCTAGGTATTTAATTTTTATGCAATTGCAAATGGGATTGCTTTCTTAGTTTCCTTTTCCTGATAGTTTGTCATTGGCATATAAAAATGCAACTTATTTCTGAATATTTATTTTGTATCCTGTTACTTTACTGAATTCACTTATCAGTTTTAGTAGTTTTTGTGGACTCTTTAGGATTCTCTATATACAATTATCATAACATCTGCAAACAAAGACAATTTACTTCTTCCTTCTCAATTTGGAGATTTTTTATTCTTCTTTTTGTCTGATTATTGTGACTAGGACTTCCAGTACTATGTTGAATAAGAGTGGTGAAAGTGGACATCCCAGCCTTTTTATCCATTTAAGAATGTTTTATTTTGAAATAATTACACATACACAGGTAATTTCAAACAGCCAAAAGAAATCAACTTTTGCATATTAACCATGTATTCTTCAACCTTGCTATAGCTGCTTATCTGTTCCAGAAGTTTTTTTCTTTTTTTGTTCTGTTTTTGTGATTCCTTGGGATTTTCTTTATTGAGGATCTTTTTTAAAAAATTATTTTATTGTTGTTCAAGTACAGTTGTCTGCACTTACCCCCCAACCACTCCCCTGCCTCACCCCAGCCATCCCCACCTCCCTCCCCTGCTTCCACTATGCCTTGGTTTTGTCCATGTGTCCTTTATAGTTGTTCCTGAAAACCCTTCCCCTCTTTCCCTCCCCACCCTCCATTTTCATATACAAACAGCTTGCTGTGTTTTACTGTTGCTTCTGGTCAGTGTTTAAAAATAAAACTTTCTAAGATTTTCCCTTGTCAATTTTTTCCTCTTCTTTATCCTTTGTATCTTTTTCACTCATACCAGAGAAATGGGTTCTGGCAATTATCAAGGAATTATTGTTGTTGTTATCATTATTATTTATTGGTTTTTATGTACAGCTTAACACCCAGACAATCATATACTTTACATAGTGTTCCCCTTGATAGTTTTGGTATCCCAAATGGCACCATACATAATTATCACAATACTATTGACTATATTTCCCATGCTTTACTTACTTTCCCATGACTATTTTGTAACTACCAATTTGTGCTTCTTAGTCTCTTCACCTCTTCCACCTAGTGCCCCAATACTCCTGTTCCCTCTGGCAGCCACCAGTTTTCTCTCTGTATCTATGAGTCTGTTTCATTTTTGTTTTGTTTCTTATTTTGTTCTTTTGATTCCACGTGTAAGTGAAATTCTATGGTATTTGTCTTTCTGTGAATGACTTATTTCACTGAGCATAGTACCCTTTAGGTCCAGCCATACCATCACAAATGGTATGATTTTATGCTTTTTATGGCTGAGTAATATTCCATTGTGCAGGTGGGGGGAAAGTGAGTACAAGAAACAGTTTTTTCTTGTATTATTTTCACTAATTATTATATTATTTTTTATATAAACAACTATAAACCTACTTTTGCCCCATTCTGTATATAAGAATGATGTTTTTTTTTTTTAATTCACTCATCTATTGGGTTGCTTCTATACCTTGGGTAGTATAAGTAACACCACAATGAACAAAGAGGTGCACATATTCTTTCAAATTACTAAAAGTGGGTTTCTTTGGATAAATCACTAAAAGTGAAATAACTGTGTCAAAAGGCAGATATATATATTTTTTTGTTTTTTGTTTTTTAAGGAAACTCCATACTGTTTTCCACAGTGGCTACACTAATCTGCATTCCCACAAACAATGCATGAGGGTTTGCTTTTCTCTATATCCTTTCTTACACTTGTTGTTTGTTGATTTATTTAAGAGAGCCATTCAAACAGATGTGAGGTGATAACTCACTGTGGTTTTAATTTCCACCTCTCTCCTGATTAGTGATGTTGAGCATCTTTTCACATGTCTATTGGCATGTCCTCTTTAAAGAAATATCTATTCAAATCTTCTGTTTATTTATTTGGTATTGAGTAGTATAAGTTTTTATAAATTTTAGATATTAATCCCATATTGGATGTATCATTGGATATGTTTTCCCATTTATTATGCTATTTTGTTTTTTAATCATTATTTAAGTACATTTTTCTGTCCTTTACTCCCATTCCAGCCCACGCACCCATCCCTCCCCATCTCCCTCCCATTTCCACCCCCCTGCTAGTTTTTGTCCATGTGTCCTTTATATTTGTTCCTGTAAACCCTTCCCATTCTCCCCTGAAATTCCCTCCCCTCTCCCCTCTGGTCGCTGTCAGCCTGTCCTCTCTTTCAGTGTCTTTGATTATATTTAGCTTGTTTCTTTGTTTTGTTGTTTAGGTTCCTGTTAAAGGTGAGATCATCTGGTATTTGTCTTTCACTGCCTAGCTTATTTCACTTAGCATAATGCTTTCCAGTTGCATCCAGACTGTTGCAAAGGGTAGGAGCTCCTTCTTTCTCTCTGCTGCATAGAATTCCATTGTGTAAATGTACCATAGTTTTTTGATCCATTCATTTACTGATGGGCACCTAAGTTGCTTCCAGCACTTAGCTATTGTAAATTGTGCTGCTATGAACATCGGGGTGCATAGGTTCTTTTGGATTGGTGTTTCAGGGTTTTTAGGATATAGTCCCAGCAGTGGAATTGCTGGGTCAAAAGGCAGACTCATTTCTAGTTTTCTGAAGAAGTTCCATACTGTTTTCCATAGTAGTTGTACCAGTCTGCAGTCT